GTAAGCATCATTTTTTCTATCTATAGAATAAACCATAAATCATAATTTTTATTTTTCAAATAAATTGTTAATGTCTTTGTAAGCAATGGTATGTCCAGGCGGCGCAACCTCAAATATGGCTTTTTTTTTCTTCCTGAGTGTAACTGAGAAAAAACTCTTTTGATACGAGCATTTGTCATAAAATAATCCCGTTAATTCAGGCATGTGGTACGACACAATTGTTCCGTGAAATTTGCGATTTTTACCCCATTCTGTAAGTTTTATGAAATTTTATCGTAAATTTTATATGGATAGTCCAAACAACTATGGGCATGAAAATGACGTTAAAAAGGGATAGGGGTTTATTCTTCCAACATTCTATAAAGTTTTGCTCCTGGAAAAACTGGTATGGACCTAAGGAAAGTTTAAACGGGCTACAGAAAAATAAAGCGCATCCAGAATACTTGTTTTTAAATACCCAAAAAGATTCAGAGAGATGAAAGATGCACAGTTAATGTCGATTTGTAGTCAGGGTGTCAAAAGTCAGTCACGTCGAAAAGTAACGTTGATCATGTGTGGTAGAAATTGAACTCCAACAAGCTAAGTATTCTGGCATAATCAAGTGATCATCTTTCCCTATGTATAGATCCACTGACAATACTATATGCATTGAAAGCAGCTGTTCATGACATTGTAAAGTCATATAAACAAGACGAGCTAAAGTCCCCTAGGTAATCTTATCAAGATAAGTGTATGAGGTATAGAGAGCGGAAATTGAGAAAAATGACGTATATGACGTCTTGAAACAAAACGGCGACAGCGCCGGGTGATCAAATAATGTTCTTTTTATTTTAGAATAATTTGGCAAATTATCAACGTATCAAGCTAAAATTTTCAACACTTATTACACTTTTGTTGTTTTATGTTTCTTATAAATTTTGTAAGCACAGACTACATAGTATTAATTTTATCGCATCAGTCCACGAACTTTTTGATAACCCCTCGTATGTATTCATTGATGGTACACACGCAAAAAAAAAAAAAAAAAAAATAAATGCGTTTTGCTTCTTGTTCCGTGTGAATTGAAAACGCTTCTTCATTTTGAAATTTTACATTTCAATCATTCTTATTTTATATATTTGTGTCAGTTTTTTTTTAAAATTTTTTTTTACTTAGACGGAAACAAAGGTACCCGCAATTCTGTCCTGAAATAAAATCACAGACAACTTAAATGTTAACTTTTGTATGCATTAATTGTACACAGAAAAATATGTGTTTAATTCTTGTTCCATTTGAATTGAACATGCTTTTTCTTTTTAAAATTTTATATTTCAATTCTCCAATTACATATTTTAGTGTCAATTTCTTTATTTTGACTTAATCATTAAGAATATTACCTCTCAGTTTATTTTCACAAAGCATGATAAATTTGTAAAAAAATGTTTTTAAATTAATAAATTTCAGAAAGAAAAAAGAAAGAAAGCAATCATGTAAATCAAAATACTTTTATTCAAAAATTTTTCTTAATCTTTGTAAACGATTGATTGATTTTTTATTGTTTTACGTCACATTCGAGAATTTTTCACTCTTATAGAGACGTCACCATATAACGGTGAAGGGCTTCAAATTCAGACCTTTACTCGGCACTCAGAGCAATTAAGCAGTGAGGGATCTTTATCGTGCCAACGCCTGCCGTGACACGGGGCCTCGGTTTTTAAGGCCCGCAACTTTCACTTCAAAGTGCCGAGCGCTTGGCGAAGGAACAGTTGCTACCTTTTTTTATCGACTTAGGTCAGTCGGGGCTCGAACCTAAGACATCCCGATCACGGAGCGAGCGCTCTACCGATTGAGCTACCGTGACAGTCTCTTTGTAAACGATCTATACTGGATTTTTACTGTTAGCTGTAAACTATTTAAGGGATGATACAGTAAGTAAGTAAGCAAATTATTAATTATATTTATTTTATATTTATTATTAATTATACTGACATGTGTACTGATACAATTATACAATCTTTTTTACAAAATTAAACTTAGTTTCCTACACCTGGCCCAAAGGACCTATATGTCACTGCTAATATTTTGACTATATATATATATATATATATATATATATATATAGATATATAGATATATAGATATAGATCTATCTATCTATCTATCTATCTATCTATCTATCTATCTATCTATCTATATATATATATATATATATATATATATATATATATATATATATATATATATATATATAAATGAAGGTAAATGATATTAGAATGTTCTTTTGGTGAAGTTCTGACGAATTTTAAAAGCATCAAAGATAAAACATGCAGATTCTCTTGGAAATTTATATTAAAATATCTGAAAAGAATGTATCATCTAAAGACAATTTTTTAAATCCTATTTTCCGAAAGAAATTTCATATAATTTACAGTGTAGTAAAATATATTTTTCGTTTTTAATTTCGTTAATGTTACAAAACTGGCAAATTCTGTCTTGGGGTGGCTCAGATTTATAACGTCCGGTGGTAATACACCGCAACGAAACATTGCCATTACTGATCGGATAGGTTTCGTTAAATCCATGTTGGCGTACTGCTCCAGTTCATATTGATTTTTGAAGAGACGGTAAGTTCTTAGTTTGGAAATATTTTGAAAATCTTCATCGAGTTTTAATTTTCTGACAGAGAAGTCTTTCGACAAGTCCTAAGCTGCATATTGATAAGTTTGTGTATACATTCGGCATATTCAGAGAATCAAATAATTGTTTAATTTTTGAGGTAAAATTTGTTCTGTTATTTTGATCCCGATCCCAAAGGAAAATCATCTTCGTCAAAAGCTCGTTTTCTAGTGTCACGAGACGATTCAGAATCGCAAGACATTAACCTGATGTCGGTAGTTACATGGCATCCAACCACATTCTCTTTGAATTGCAATCAAGAGCGTGAATCGGTGTACACTATTTTTGAATTCATAACAGCCCTTAAAACTTTAAAACGACAGAAAACAAAGTATATAGGGTTAGTTTAAATTTGGAGAATCAAATACTAGAATGGAAAACATCAAAGCAAATTTGTATACCTAAATGTAAAAAAAAGATAATTTAAAACAAAATAAGTAAATAGATAGATAAATAAATAAAAATATAATAAAAGAAATTTTAAAATACAATTTTCTTTTTAAAATATTATGGTACTCAACGTGAGCTTCATATACATGTAAATAATTATTGAATATTAGCAAAGATAAGATAAGAAATCTGTGGAGTTAGATAAATTTGTTAATATAATATAAATTTTGTACGTAACTGACATCCCTTGTAACTTTGGACTTTGGCACGATAAAGAACTCTCACTGCACAATGGCCCTAATCATGAGTGCCGAATATAGGCCTTTCACCGGTAAATGGAGACGACTAAATATAAGTAAAACATTCTCGAAATGGAAAATAAACAACATACATACACTCGATCAATCAATCATTTACAAGAACCATGAATAATTTGAAGTTAAATATGCATTTTCAATATGCAGAGCTGCAGTTATAGCTCTTTTCCCCCAGTCACTTGCCTTCAAGCAAAAAAAAAAATAAAAAAATAAAAAAAAAAAAAAAAAATAAAAAAAAAATAAAAAAAAAAATACAGTTTTAAAAGAATTTTTGCTAAAAAAAAGTACTTTTATTAGAGGGAGCAATTCAAAGATCAAAAAAAAAAAAAAAAAAACTTCAATGATGCAATCAAAATATCTTTCTTTAACATAATAGAACTTAGGAAATAAATCATTTTCATTTTCACAATAGTATTTATAATCCTGAAATTGCGAATGTAAATGTAATAATTTTTATGCCAAAAAGTGATTTCAATTTCTTTTATTTGCAGATCATTTTTCCAACGCCTTAACAATGTTTAGGAATAATGAACCTTTATTGGAAGTTACATATTTTATACAGCAAAATCTATTAATGAGAGTACAATATAAAATCACTTGAATATTAGTAATAGAGAGGTTGAGGTCTCTACGCGTACGTGTACACCTACTTTGACGTACACGTTTTTTGGAATTTGTCTGCTGAGATTTTAATGACGTGATAAAAAACGTGTACATTGTGATAAGTATCTCTATTTCAACTATTTAATAGTCTTGTGACATCAGTTCGACTTTAGTTAGTAAATAGAACATGGTAAAAATAACTATTTATGAAACTAAACATCCTAAATAAAAAAGTACAACAGTTATATGTTTATACACATAAATTGTCTAAATTTTTATTATAAAGCTACAAGTTTACATTTACGTGTAGATGCCACTTTACAATTTGTAGGAACGTGTGGAAAACTAGTCATTACTAAAATTGATGACATAATACGCGAGGAATTTAGGGAATTCCCCTGCTAGACGTACCCGTATGAAATCTCAACCTCTCTATTGATACATAATTACTTTATACTGCAAAATCGATATCTATTAAATCTAATGTTAAATAAAATCACTAAAACATATATATATATATATATATATATATATATATATATATATATATATATATATATATATATATATATATATATATATATATATATATATATATATATATATATATAATTCTTCGTTACTTTCCCTATTAAGTACAGTATAAAACTTAAAAGGGTCATACACTAAATCATACAAAGAACAATACTCCGATAATAATCATATGAAAAAACTTTTTTCCTGAATGTAAGAAGGTAATACAAATAATGCTACATTTCCATATTCTTTCAAACTTCTCTCTCTCTCTCCCTCCTCCTCCTCCTCCTCTCTCTCTCTCTCTCTCTCACGCACATACACAAACACAATTCTGATGTGTCATAGTAAATGTTCATTATTTTAAAGATATTTTCCCAACTGCGGTCAAGTTTACATCGTGTGATTATCTATACTAGTAAGAGAAAAGGACTTTTCCTATTCCACTAAGCTGAAAAAGATTTGAAGTAAGTATTTAGTTCCATTGGTCTTTATCATTTTTTAACAATGTGCTTACCAAGTTCATGATAAATTGATTTCTTGCAGTATTTCATGATCTCGAGCAGAGGCAGAACTGGATGTCGAGAAAGGAAATGAAGTACTATTTTCACCTTTTTGCTTTTTCTTTTTCCCTGGCGTTTTCATGGTAACAAATGGAGGTGGAGGCTTAAAAGCAATAGTTTCTTCTTCAATAATGGCGGGAACAATGGTTCCGAAACTATTTATAATATCTTTGTCTAATTCCGCTGGAATAAATGCTGGAGGTGTAATTTTGTACGAGCTTGGGAGAGTTTTGTAGTTCTCGAGCGAGGATGCCACATCCTTTCTGAAGAGAACAACTCCCATATCTTTAGTATCCTGCTCATCTTGACATTTTTTACGTAAGGTTTCTAGTTTGTTAATTTCTTTGACAAACTCGCCCTTTCTAGAAGTAATCTGCTTTTTGGTTTCTTTAGTATGTGTTTTCAGATCTTCCGCTTTCTGATGAATGGCTGTTCGCATTTTTTCAATGAAATTTTTAACCTCCTTTACCACGTTTTCTGTAGCTTTTTCCATCTTTTCTAGATGTTCGACCAACTGCTGTTTTGCTTCCTCTCTTTGCTTGATATGGCTCTGGATGAGGTATAAATCATTTCTTAACATAGCTCTTTTGTGTTCGAAAAATTCGGTAAAATCTCCAGTTCTGTGTCCAGTATGAGCAGTGGTCATACACTGGGAACATACTGCTTGATTGCAATCCTGACAACATAAATCCACAGTATTAGATTTATGTTTTGGACAAGAAGCTTTCTCCATTCCCTTCATGCTATCTTGAGCTGATTTACGTTTCACCCCCTTTTTCTTCGGAGGGTTAGATGCATTTGATGAAGTTGATGCAGGATCAACCCGTATTGTGGAGGTGGGGGTACTTTCAAGGAGGTCAGGCTGAATGGAAGGTTGTTCCTCCTTATTACAAAAAATACGTAACATTAAAAATCATTCATATAATATTTCAGAACTTAACATGAAAATTGATTGATTTATTTTCAGTATTTTTCTTTATACTAAAGGAAGAATTAATAACAGGAAAAAATATGAATATTTTTTGAAAAATACTGAAAACAAACACACCTTAT